GGGAATGGTGAACTTATTATACCAATATAAAATTGATTATTTTTGAAATAAAATACCAAAAAAAAACCTAATAACGTAAAGAAAGATGAACGAAAGAACAATTATCACTGCTTTGCTTAGTTACCTATTGAATAGAATATTTGATGCTTTGGCAACAAAAAATAGATAAAAAAACTCAAAAACGGAGATACAATAAAATCTGTATTTTTTTTGCAAACGATATACGATTAAGTGCACTACATCCCATAAAAATTTGGAGTCCGGTGACTGACTACCACCCTCCATACAAATCTGAGCCGTATCTTTTAGTTAACTAGTTGCATTTTTCATAATAAAGGTTTGTGCTTACCTTGTTAAAATTCTTAAATAATCCAATTCTTATAGCTTTCAATTCTTCCCCCACAAATGCTACCAGTGCACCACACCGGTATTCGAACACTTCACTTTATAGACTCACAAGATTCTCCCGTAAAAACTATTTTCAATGAGTAAAGTTTCGATACATCTGTAACGGAAGCTGTACAGTGTACACAGATAAAGGCATCCGCAAATTGATAACTATAGTCCACGAAGCTAGCGTCCGTCGGCAAACCAAGCAGATCGCGTTGTAAACAATTAAACACTCCCCATTACTATTTTTAGCTCAGGAGTCCAGACGTCGCGCCGAGCGCGTTAGAAAAAATACAGAAACGGCACCAAGACCAATAGGAAGCTCCCATATATTGATACAATAAAAACTGCGGTCATTTACACAATGTTTGAAATAGGTTCGTGTAGAGCTATTCGATCAATTTATCTATAATCTTAAGAATCCTCAAGAGATAAGTTTAAAGAATTTGGCATAATGACAGTCGCATCACAATACTTAAACGATAATTTATTACTTGTAAGAAAAAATATTAATTTGTAACTTAAAAACAGTGATATTCACACACTTAATACAAGAAAGAAAAATAAACTAACTTTACCTGCTACTAGGCTTCACAAAATTAATAATTCATTTAAAGGTGTAATAAAGTCCCAAGCAATATCCAAGAGTTAACCATAAATAAATTCAATAATAGTATAAATAAGCTTATTACAAAGTGTCTGATTATATTACAGACAAAAATGCTTGGTTTTGAACTGTTCCAATAATTCCAACAGGTTTTCTATATTAAATAAATCATGATTGATCATGATTGTAAATCACGAAGATGTCGAAAAATTAAATCTACGAAAATTATGTCCATTCGACGACGTTTTGTCAGCAACTTTTAATGATTATAGAAACTATGACAACAAAAAATTATATACTCAAGGTTTTTAGTATTCGAATAAATAGTAGATTATTAACCAAGGGGATAAAGCAGTGTCTTCTGTCGCGGGTGACGATTTAAATCGCGAGTGTAACGAAGGACTCGAGGTTTACTCCCGAGCGTAGCGAGGGTGTAAAAAAACTTAAATCACGAGCGAAGCGAGGGATTTAAGACGAGTCCTGAGTGTAGCGAGGGATTTAAGTTTACCCAAGACTAAGACAGCTTTATCACCGAGAAAAATACTCTACTAACATATTAACACATTAATAATATGAGATAAGCATTTATTAAATATAATGACAATTAAAAGTAAAAGTTAACATGCGAAACATTGGTTCAATAAATACGGCCTTGTCGGTTTTCGTAATTTTATTTAATAATCATAACTGTACAATAAATGCGTATTCCTTTTTCAAAAAGATGTATAATGCTTTATATACAAACTCAATGGTGTAAACACAGATGCTGTTCAGTAAGTATTCCAAATTTAAATCACATTCTTTCCCTAGAGGTGAATGAAATTCAGTACAATTTTCTTTCCCTGTTTTTAACAGATTAAAAATTACTATTGTTATGTTCGTTTTTTGTGGCATAGAATGTCACTTTTTTGAGCAAGTGGTACGAAAAAGTTATTTACTCTTAAAATCATTATTTTTAATAAATGCTTATCTCATATTATTATTGTGTTAATTTTTTCGCAAATGGTACGAAAAGTAGAGTATTTTCCTCGGTGATAAAGCTGTCTTAGTCTTGGGTAAACTTAAATCCCTCGCTACACTCAGGACTCGTCTTAAATCCCTCGCTTCGCTCGTGATTTAAGTTTTTTTACACCCTCGCTACGCTCGGGAGTAAACCTCGAGTCCTTCGTTACACTCGCGATTTAAATCGTCACCCGCGACAGAAGACACTGCTTTATCCCCTTGGTTAATAATCTACTATTTGACATTATCATGGATTATGCCTACGAGGGAAACCATGTAAAAAAAACGCGCCTTGCATTCTTCCTCGAAGGTGGTGAGGAAACGAGTGCATCGTCATAATGTAGTCGCTTTCTCAGCGCTCTACTCTAAAAACGGTTAATTTTACAGAAAATGCATCTTTTGTAGATAATTTTACGACGAAAAATTTTTGAAGTTATACTTCTTTAGGCGCGTTATGAAAAAATGATGAGAGTGAAATTTTAAGATGCGCGCGCATCACTGTAACACAAAAAATTAACAGCATGAAGTTGGTCGTGGTTACTTTTGTGTTTACCGCACATTAAGAAAATCTACCAACAAAATAGTAATAAAATCTCTATTTTGTGGGTGCTAACGACTGCATTGTGAAGGCCTATCAAAAGTATTTATTAATCTGGAACAACGGAACCAAAGCGCGATTCAGGAGACTACAGCGCCATCTCTTGACCATTGGTGTAGTAGAACCAAAAACCACATTTTTATTTTTTGTAATAAAGTAACAGTTATAGGTATTCATATTTATAATATTTATCCAGATGTTTCTAGTTTGTATATTCGGAATACGTGTTTGAGTTTCATACAAGTGCAAATCACATATGTTCTAATAAATTATATTCAGTAGCGATTTTAATTGAATATTTTGATTATTTATTTATTTTTTCAAATTAAAACTGAACTTTATTGACTGTGTCCTTTTCCAGACTTTTTATTAATTTATTGTAATTAATTATTTGCATGCAATTAAAAACTAATTTTAAACGATGCCAAAGAAGGATAACTTCTCACGCGCCTACATAAGTACACGCACCCATTTTTTATAATGACCTCTATTGACCTCCGAGCAATAGGTCGCGAGATATTCGCGAAAAACCTGAATATCATGACCTTTTGATCCTTATAACTTATTTAGCCGGCACGATATCAATGTCGATTTTTCAAATCATCATTGAAAAGCCGTAATAAAGGTGTATAAAAAACCGCAGATTGGGGTTTAAAATGCCTAAAATTACTGGACTACAATGACTTCCGCAGCGTAAGCGATACAAGGTTTTTGTTTGGTATATTTCCACACCCTGAGTTACGCATCGAAGTTTTCATACGGAATCCAAACTTTTTGAAAAGACTTTTTTCATCAGGGATAATGTAGGATTCTAAACGTGAAAAATTTTTTCAAATCGGTCCAGTAGTTTTGGAGCCTATTTAATGTTTGTATTAACAAATAATCAAATCTTTCCTCTGTTTAATATTAATATAGACAAGACACTGCAATTGAAACACTACTACGATATTAGAGCGCACGTCATTCGGTGATTCATTCGTCATTTCTATACGAAATTTCTATAACGAAAGTACCTGAATTGGCAATAGGGGAATATGTTGGACTATTCAAGTGTCGTTTATTGCTTTTTGACGTGACAACGTCTTAAATTAGGTTGCGGCTGGGAGTCACTTATGAAAAAGTGTAACGCTCGGTAACGTTACGATGAGTCTCTCGTGTTAAGTTTAAGTTTACATGTACAATGTTTTAGTAAACAAAATATATTTCTATAGTTAAAATTTGTGCAATTCTTATTTTCATTCAATTCCTTGTTCCTATTGTGCAATTTAATTATATTCATATCAATAAATATTCTACCGAGAAAAAGACGTTGTCACGTAAAATCTTCGCCCGTAAAACCGACTTTACAGGCAACCATTTTTTATAAGAGGCGCAACAAATTACCCTAACCCACCTGATCTTAAGTGTAAGTGGAGTCCAGTCGTGAAGATAGATGATGCGGAAGAAAATGTGCCGTCCAACCATCCACACCGGCCGGCCTGAACCAAATCCCCTACGTAGCGTACTTGAATAATAATATTTTGTTTTTAAAGGTTTACGACAACAATTTTTACAAGTCTGATTCAGGAAAAAGAATGCATTTTTTTTTGTAAAAAATACTTAAGGATTCTGTGTTATGGCTAACCCCGTTGTTATTGAATTAGCCCACTTCTGTCCCATTAAAAGTTAATTAATATAATCGCAGAACACAGAAATGGGTCAGAAGGGCCTTGTGGTCGGGGCAGGCGCGCTGCAGCTTCGCAATCAGAAGCAAGTTATGAGCATTTGCTCACAAATGTCTACGCTCTTGGGTGTGAACACTCGATTGGTTCTATAGTTTAATGTCGCGTCGTTTGATTGGCTATTATCTATTAGGTGGAAGTGTAATGAATTTGTTTCTTAGGTTTTCACGCACATCACTCATTAAATAAAACTAGTTTTTACGGGTTAATGCACGAAACTTTATTTATTTATTGACGTTTCGTAGCCTTTACAGGCTTCGTCGTCAGAATAAAACTTTTATTTAATTTGTCGAGCTACCTTGTGTAATGAAGGCTAGCCGGCAACATCGGTTCCCGTACAAACAGTCTACGATCACCCTTCTAAACCCTTTCTGTTCTGTGAATATAATGCAGCTACCTACATCTAACACATACAATGAAGCCAGCGCCGAAGGCACTGAGGCGTGACCCAAGGAATTTATTTATATGTGACGTGAACGTAACCATCTCATGCAGACAGCCAAACATCCCACTGTCAAATAATCTCAATAGATTGTGAATCTTATGTCGAGATAAATAAAGCTCAAAGTGAGTTGGAGAAATTCTACAGTTTTGGGTGATTTCATCTGTGGCTGAATGTACGTGTATCTGCATTCCTGTTGCGTGGAAAACATATATACATAGCATAATATATGAATTACAATTAAAAGACATTGTATGATTTCATAAAAATTGTAATATTACCATTTCTGGTACACAAGTTCAGCTTATATTCCACGATTAATCAACCAATCATTACTCAAATACACAACTCACAAATCATTCTAATATCATAATGTAATTGTTTCATTAAATAACATTATAAAAGATGGGTTTATTGCAAATAACCCTGTTCGTATGTTTGTTCACACTAACTGTGGAATGGAGGTAATTATTGACAATACATTTTTATTTTCATAAAGGCTTGTTTACTGGTAACAAGTTTAATAAAAACATGTCACACGGAAGTAATATTATTGTGATGTTTGCGTTACTGTAACGTAACGAATCATAATTAAATACACATTAAAACAAACAAAAAAAAATATCTTTTTAAATAATAATTTCCTAATCTAGCATTTTTCTCATCGAATGTGAATAGGTTGCGTAAGGCTAAGAACACACGTAGCGATTTTCACCCGCGACAGTCGCGCAACTCTAGCAGATTGTAAAAATGTAAGTATAAATCGCGCCACGAAACTCTAGCGCTGACCGTTATTGCGCAGAAGTAAAAATTAGGATGTGTTGGGAAACTCTTCAGTCGTACCCATGCGCTTGCGCAGCTATTCCCTCTGTACTTTGTTCAGCGCTGGAGTTATGTGCCGCGACCTGGAGCTCTATTTTTGAATCACTCGTCTTGCGTCGAACGCTCGATTTCTACTAAATTTCATTCGATATAATTAATTCTGTATTTTTGAATCGCTCGAGTGCAACGAATGGGTGAGACCACTCGCTGCATGGCGTATGGTGGAGGCGAATGATAGAATAATTGTCTAATTTTTTGTGCTATTAGACGACGATGATCTATCATTGTCATGCTTTATATGAAACGATAACGAGAATTTATTGTTCGGTTTTGATTGCGGCAATTACAGCTCAAGGAGCTCCTGGAGCTCTATTTTTGAATCACTCGCCTGACATAGTATCGTCGAATGCGACATAAGTCACCTTCGACTTTCTAGTCGCACGATATTCCGTATTTTTGAATCGTTCGTCACCGGTGTTACCAGTTTAATACGAAATATAAAATTTTATTCATTTTACGCAGAAAAATAACAACCGGTAATTACCGCAATGAAAACGGAACGAAAAATTCTCAGTACATGGCTGTATAATATTAGTTTGTCGTTTTTTATGACGGTACTTCACTTAGCTATTCGTGATTGGTCTTTGTGAACTTGACATGCATTAGCCGTCATGCCATAATAAAAGAAGAAGAAACTTGACATCAGTCTGCCCTTGTCGTTTCATATAAAGCATGACAAGGACAGATTATCGTAAAAGAAAGTGATCGTAAGCGCGAGATACTTGATCAGTCTTCGGAGTTAAGAATGCAAGGGTACTCTCAAGAAAAGGTCATAATTTGAAAAAAAAAAAATAGTAAACAACGAAAAACAATAGTAAACAAAAGTGAATCAAGTTTGACACGTGACTTCTGACACAAATTTGTCAATTTTTCTATCATTCGCCTCCACCATTCGCTATGCAACGATCGGTCTCACCCATTCGTTGCACTCGAGCGATTCAAAAATATGGAATTAATTATGTCGAATGAATTTTAGTAGAAATCGAGCGTTCGACCCAAATCGAGTGATTCAAAAATAGAGCTTCTGTAATGCACATTAACAAATTCCACGACGCGAATGATGGGCGATATATACGCGGTTTTTTGCGGTACCCATAGCCCCGGCTTCATCCTCGCACTCGGCGATTGGTTGACGGCTGACCGGCAATCGAAATAAATTTGTTTTGTAGTGGACGTAATCCTGCCGTACTCAAACTAAAGAGCGGCTAAGTGATATATAGTCGATACTTCAGTGTTAAATTGCATTTTATACAGTTTTTAATTCCCTTTCGATCTGTCTTTAACGTGTATTCGCATCTTTTATAGTTTAAGTCTAAAAACCCGTCACGTGATGAATTGTTAAAAAATAGCAATCATTTAAAGTGAACACGCTGTTTTTTTGGCCATATCTCCAAAGTTAGTTTTGTCATTTAGCCGCGTTTTAGCTTGTGGACGGCAGAATCGCTGCATTTGCTCGACAAGTTAACAGGCGGTCTCGCATCCGCGGTGGCTGCGGGGCTGCAAAAAAACTGCGATTTCCCGAGTTTTGAATTGAAAAAGCTTCTATTCCGCTAAGGCGGTCGCAGGTAAAAACCGTTCCGTGAGCTTTTAGCCTTAAAAGTAATGAGTCGAATGGGTTTTAAATAAAAATTAGAAAAACGCAACTTTACGTGTATGTGTCAATCAATAAATTAAGGCAACTTTTTATCTATTATACATGAATAACATGATGAGTCATTTAGTTCTTAATATAAATTAAAGCCCCAATCAGATAAAGGTCAACGATTTTGGCACCGGCTCCTACGAAAATAAAAACAGCTTTGTGACAAAAGCGAGCACAGCAGTCGCACGATCACTGCATCACAACCATGAGCGGCCCCGGAGCGGTCCCAAACGAGTCATGAGATCTGGTCCTTCGAGCGTCCACCTTCGACCGGAGCACACCTGTTCGATTCATTTCAATAATACCTATCTATTCGTTCTCGAACCTACGCGCTAATCTTTGTAAAAAAATAAATACAACGTATGTACAGTTCTATCGAGGCGGCGCACTCGCGAGCCGTCGACTCCTCGCGTCGCGCCGGGAGCCTTCCTCACACCTCAACATCCGACCGTCGGCATCGAGCGGGGGGCGGGGCGGGGGTGGGGGGCGGAGGAGGCGGGGGGGATCGCTCGGTGCGGGTCGGAGGGCGAGCGCTACCGGCGTCTGCGCCGACCCTTGCGGTATCCCTTCCCGTACCACCCGCTGGTGTCCAGCGCGGGGGGAGGCGGGGGCGCGGGGGCGGGGGCGGGGGCGAGGGAGGGGGGGGGGGGGGTGGTGGCCGGGTCGCAGCACGCGCACAGGAGGCGGCGGCGACGCGCGCGACGCTCCAACGACGTACAACGCGGGGGACCGTACCACAGGCAGCGCCGGGCGCCGTGCCGACGCAGGCACCACGTACATTCGCCCAACGCAGCGGGGGCGGCGGCGGCGGCGGGGGCGGGGGCGGGGGCGGGGGGAGGGGGGGGAGCTCCGGCCGCAGGCAGCGGAGGGGAGATGATGGTGTGCAGGCCCGAGTAGAGTTGCGCGCGGCAAACCAGCACGGCGCGCGCGAAGTAGGCCGCCGCCAGCGCCTCCTCGCCGCCCTCCGCCTTCAGTCTCTCGTCCTCGGGCCTCTGCAGCAGCCGCCGCAGCTTCGACCGGAGGCCGTGCGTGCCGTTCGCTCCGTCGATCTCCATTTTGACCACTCCCTCCTCCTTTTTAAGGTCGCCGACCTCCGTCTTCGCGAGCGTTCGCTCCTCCTCCTTCTTAGGGGCGAACGGTTGAGGGTCGGGCTCCTCCTTCTTGACGGCGAAGTGTTCCAGTTTGGGCGCGCAGTTTCCGTTGAAGGCGAGCGGCGGGCGGGGTCGCACCATGCGGAAGCTGCGCAGCGCGAGCGATGCCGGCGCCGCGGGGGGCGCGCGTGGGGTCGCGGGGGGGCTCGGCGCGGGGGGGCCGGGCGAGGGGGGCGCGGGGGGGCCCGGCGAGGGGGGCGCGGGGGGGCCGGGCGAGGGGGGCGCGGGGGGGCCCGGCGCGGGGGGCGCGTACTGCGCTCGCAGCAGTATGGTCGCCTCGCCCGACCGCATGCTCACCTGACGGAAAGTATAATAGCCATTATATATATATTAGTTCATTGCATCTTTTGTATACATAAATGATACAAATATGATGACGTCACAAACGGAAGCCCTGTAAGAGCACGGCAAACTTGATTGATTAAAATATTAAGGTTATTATTGCAATGAAATATATTATACTAAAATAATCACAATTAACAATATTTATAAATTAACAGTAACGTTTAAAATTGATTTATAAAATAACTATGTGATATACGTTAATATTGAGAGTTTATGTACCGACATTTTCGCCCAAATATTTATTTACAGAATAGTGAGTTCTATCAACAATGCACTAGCATAACTGTAAACTAATGGCAAATAAATGTAAACAATCCATCGCTCAAAATCACCGACGGCGCGTCGTCGTAATAAATTAAGTACAATTTCATGAAATCGACAAAATATGAAAGCGGTACCATATAAATGTAAAGTGGGACTTTCTGATATTGTTAATTTTGGGATTTACTCGAATGCAGCAGATTAACATGAGGGAAGCGACCTTGCATCTTGTTGAGTACTCCAACCATACCTTATTCCTTTATACAGTGTGGCATGTCAAGGGGCAGCCGATCAGATTAGTAAAAAAAAACAATCGTTGGAAAAACTCGAGCGCGTCAGATTACATGCAGAAAAGTGTGTATTTCAACAATCTGACAATTTGAGCATGACATAAAGAAAAGGGTGAGTCAATAAGTTACAAAAAATACAGAACATTTTCGAGCGCGATTATTTTATTTTAGATCACGGATATAATCTGCCGATTTACACAAGCCGAAGTAACTTTACTTAACTTAAACTTAAATCATTCATAGACTGGTGCGATTACAATTATAATATCTGACGCGCTCGAATATGTCTATGTGACTGTTTTTTTATATACTTTTGAAAGCCTGGACACACTTCCCTCACCCCAGTGAAAAGGCATACATTAAATTAACTTTTTTCTTTTGAGCATCTAACTTTTACAATCCTATAAGTCCCAACGACGCACGAGTATATTCCTATTTAGCATCTCGGTTCCCCTACTATAACATATTTTGTACTAATACGGAACGACTTAAAATTTTTGAAGTGAAAACTTGTTTAACGGCGTTGTACACTTTTTTTGTAATGTGTAAAAATGAAAAACTCGCGTCAGGATACGTGACCTGATCGAAAATTCGTAAGACGGATGGAGAGTAGACAGCCAGCGCGGCATAGGAGAGGAAGTATCCCTCTCTCTTTCTACGGCGCGGCGAAAGTGTATGCCTGCGCCTGCTGTTGCGTTTAGGTGCCACGCGCATCTATGGATGCTGACAGCTGATGGCTCGACCGTCTGTGTAGTGGCCACACTGCTGTGTATTCGTAAAATTCGTGCATATAAAGTGTTACTGATAATTAAAGCAATTCGTGCAAAATTATTCCCTAACCATTCTAAAATATCAAAAATGCACAACGTTAATATCCAAGTTTTCACTTCTGCCGGCACTCCCGGAGTGCAACCCGTCGTTTTTTTTTTTGCCACTTAAGACTCGAAAGATGGATATTTGCCGATGAAAATAGATTGTAACCGTCGTGTGTCGAAACAAACTTAACAAGCTTTCAATATTCAACATTTTATTGTCTTTTATTCAATTACCTGGAAGGCGCGCAGTAGATCTGGCGGTGGTCTCGTAGTAGGAGGCGGGGACTTGATGATGACGGGCGGAGGCTGCGCCGGCGTCGGCGGGGGCTGCGGGCTGGCGGGCCGGGCTGGGGGGGGCTCCGGCGGCGCCAGGGGGGGCTCCGGCGGCGCCGGGGGGGGCTCCGACTGTGGCGATGCCAAGCGTGATTCTGGCGACGCTGCTTGGACGTTCGGTAGCACGAGACGATCGTTTGGTAATAGAGGAGGTTGTGTGCTTGGAGAAAGGACACAATCGTTAGGTAAAAGAGGTTTTGTGGTTGGAGAAAGGAGACTATCGTTAGGTAAAAGAGGTGGTGTGGCCGGAGAAAGGAGTCTCTCGTTCGGCGAAGGAAGTTGTATGGTCGGTGAAAGTCGCTCATTCGTTAATGGAGGCTGAGTATCTGGTGATGTTAGTCGCTCGGTCGGAGATGGTACTCGCATGTTCGGGGGAAGAAGTCGCTCGTTCGGTAAATGGGGTTGTATGGTAGGCGAAAGGCGTTCGTTTGGTAATGGAGGTGGAATAGTCGGTAATGAAAGGCGCTCGTTCGGAGACGGAATTCGCACGATCGGTGGAACGCGGTCATTCGATAATGGAGATTTTATTTGCGGTGATGTAACTCGCTCGTTTGGAGGCGGAACTTGCATGTTAGGTGGCAAAACGCGGTCATTCGGTAATGGGGGTTGCACGGTCGGTAATGTTAGCTGATCGTTCGGAGGCGGGACATGTATTTTTGGTGGCAGAATGTGGTGATTCGATAATGGAGGTTCTATACGCGGAGACGTAAAAAGCTCGTTTGGAGGCGGACTTTGCATGTTCAATGGCAGAACGCGGTCATTCGGTGATGAGGGTTGAACGGTCGATCCTGTTAGTCGCTCGTTCTGAGGCGAAACTCGCATGTTCTGTGGCAGAACGCGGTCATCCGAAAATAAAGGTTCTGTGTGCGGAGACGTAAGTCGCTCGTTTGAAGGCGGAACTTCCATGTGCTGTGGCAGAACACGTGCATTCATTAATGGAGATTTTGTGAACGGAGTTGTAAGTCGCTCGCTCCGAAGCGAAGCTTGCATGTTCGGTGGCAAAACGCGATCATCCGATACTGAAGATTTTATGTAAGGAGGTGGGAGTCGATCGTTCGACGGAGGCGGTCGATGCGTGTTCGGTGACAAAAATCTCATTTTCGGTAACGGAGGCTGTCTGTAAGGTGACGCGAGGAGCTCGTACAGCGACGGAGATCTTTTCATCGCCGACGGAGGTTTATGATTCGGTGTCGTCAATCGCTCATCCGGCACCGGAGGGGGGTGCGTATTCGGTAACAGAAACCGTTTCTGCGGGGACGGAGGTCGCTCGTTATCGCGGAACCGCGCATTCGGCGAAGAACGGTCGCCCGACTTTCGTCGAGCGTTCTCCGGGGAAGATCGATCGTTCGTTTTCGGAGACGGCGGCGCGCGCAGACGCTCGGCGAGACGACGCAGCGGCAACTCCTCGTCCGAGTCCGAGGCGGAGGGCGACGAGAGGTTCTCGTCGGAGAGGTCGCGGAGACGGAGCCGAGGGGAGGGGGAGGGGGAGGGGGAGGGGGAGGGGGAGGGGGAGGGGCGGGAGAGGAGCGGGCGCCGAGTGGTGTGCAGCTCGGGCGGGGCGAGCGGCTCCGCGTGGGCCAGCAGGGGGTCGCGGTGGGGCCGGTAGTGGGGCACGCGCAGGCGCAGGCGGCGGGCCACGTGCCGCATCACGGCGTCGCAGCGCGCGTTGATCTTGAGCGCGGCCACCGAGTCCTTGGGCGTCCACTGCAGGTTGACGATGTAGAGGGCGGGACGGTCGCGGGGCGCCGCCTGCATGCGCCACAGGCGGGGGTAGCGGCGCAAAACCTGGCCGGAACGTTATAACATATTTTTCTTTTTATAATTTTTATTATGCGACTGCTTGATGTTTAAATCTAAAAAAAATATAACTATAAAAAAATCCACGCGGACCGGGCGACGGACGGGACTCGAACCCGCACCCTTCGCGATCCGAACGAATGCGCTGACCGATTATGCTACCGCGGCCCTCGCGGACGGCGTCGAAAAATGCGAAGCGATGGCGCCGTCTTGCAGCTTAAGAATGACTAGAAGAATTTCGACGCGGTCCGTGAGAGCCGCGGTAGCATAGTTTATTTATTCAGTTTCACATGCCGGTTTACAGAGCTAGTCCGACACACCAACGAGTCAATGCAATGCAAAACAAAAACATTCATTATATAGAAATAGTCATAAGTGGAATCACAATTAAAAGTCAAAAATAAACATACATCAAAGTCAACAAAGTTACAGAATCAAAAATGTCAATAAGATACAATTTAAAAAAAACGTGAAAACAATTAATAAATTACAAATTCAAATAAACTAGAAAATACACCGACCAAAAACATTATTTTGAATGTCAAATTACAGATTAAAACCCAGAATCTAAAATCTTTCGAGTCGTGGTAATTAATCTCCCTAGACCGTCAGCAAACAAGTGTAAGTGATCGTATTGAGCGAGTATGTCCCCGATCAGGCGCAATGCACGTACTGTGGGCACTCGGGCAGCGTGGACGGTTCGGGTGCCAGGCTGCCAGGCCTCTCCAGCAAGCGCGGCCAATCCAATAAACCCTCGGCATCACGCGGGATGCGAGTGGGTACCGAAAGACGTACTCTTTCTAGCACGTGTGGGGAATCAATCTTTTGGTAAATCTCATATCCAGTGCTTCTAGGTCGACCATACCGTAGACAAAAGTTGATGGATACAAGAACGGATAATATCCATAGTTTTTCTTATACAACCACCGAGCAAATTTTCGTTGTATCTTTTCTATCATATTTTTTTTCGTGGGTGTCCCAAATTACTGCCCCATATTCCAATTTGTCTGGGCTAGGCACGTAGGCGTTGTATAATACTCTAGCCACTAAAGAACTACTAAATTCGGATGAAGTTCTGATAATAAATCCTAGGATCCTACTCGCCGATTTGCATACGTTTATCACGTGTTGGTGAAAGTCCATCTTAGTATCTAATGTTAAGCCTAAGTCTCTAATTTTGTCAACTCTTTCCAAAGGAGCGTCATATATTTTATAAATACTTTCAATACAGGACCGCTTCCGCGTAAAAGTTATTGTCTTGCATTCATTGCTATTGAATGTCAACCGATTCGAATCACTCCACGCTACTACAGCGTCAATATCACTCTAATAATAAAATATAATTGGTCAGTGCATTCGCCCGGATTGCGAAGAGTGCGGGTTCGAGTCCCGTCTGCTGCCTGGTCCGCGTGGAATTTTTAATAGTTATATTTTCTTTACATTTACATGCTACATTACATGCTTTAAAATACATATATATATTTCTTTTTTAGTAAAACTTCTCTTCGGGCGGGGTGTAAATGGAAAAATTCTATGGAAAAGTGTGTGTATATTTGTGTGTGTGTGTGTGTGTGTGTGTGTGTGTGTGTGTGTGTGTGTGTGTGTGTGTGTGTGTGTGATGCGTGCGCAGCTCTTCCCAACGAGCATGAAAGTTGGAAGGTAATTCGGCGAAGACTGAAGACCAGCGTCACACGACAATAAATATACATATATATAAGAGATGCGTGCGCTCCGCCTAATGTCAGGTTAATTAGGAAAGAAATCACTTCAGATGTGTGGTCTGCACACATTTTTTTTAGAATACAGTAGAAATATTTTTAATGCTCTCACATAATTCATGTACGATGCGATATGACAGCGTGAACAGTGAATGGATGTAACTCAGCATAAACTGCTTCGTTACGGAAGGTCTAGGGTAGCGCTGGATTTCAGCTTCACTCATTTTTCTTTAAATGAAAAGCGAAACATGCAAGAGACCCAATAAAAGTAGGTGGTACTCCTTGGGTCAGATTGTTTGTATGTGTGTGTGTGTGTACGTGTGTGTGTGTGTGTACCTGTGAGCGAGTTTATATGCATGGATGTGTTTATGCCTGTGCCAAATCCTTACACAGCAAAAATCCTTAATTACCATATATTGAACAATCAGGCTAAGTCGAGCTCGATGACGCAAGTGATTAGCGCGTTCGGCTGCGATCGTTGAACTTAAGCAACTTTCCCAGTAGTTGGTCATTGGATGGGAGACCAAAAATTACTATCTCGAGCTCCTCCGTGCTTCGGAAGGCAGGTTAAGCCGTTGGTCCCGGCTGCATCTGCAGTCGTTAGCACCCACCAATCCGCACTGGGCCCGCGTGGTGGGTCATGGCCCAATCTCCCTATTACATCCATAGGAAAGGCCTGTGCCCCAGCAGTGGGAACATTAATAGGCTGATGATGATGAGGCTAAGTCGTACTAATACGGTGTCTGCAACGCGACCGCGATTTTGTGAAAAGAAACTCGAACAATAACTATTTCAAACTGAACAATGTCCTGGCTTTGGTTGTAATTTATTATGTGTGTAATATAAGCGCCTGCCCCACCAGAGGAGCGCGTGCTCGTTTCGTTTTTGTTTCCGAACCAGATTTTCACAAACTGCATATCAAATGAGAGCTTGCTCACTTAGTCCTTTCGGTACAGATTTTTTATCGACCGCATACTCTCATAAGTCCAAGCTCATTTGATAAGCCGAAAAGCAGTATCTCAATCAGAGTAAGGATTGAGAAAATCGCCTATTTGTAATATCGCCTATTATCATGGCAGCGTAGCTCTGCATACCGAGTTCTACTATATCATTCAATTCGGCCGCTCAACGTGACGGTATCATAACTAATCATAAACACCATAGCAGAGAAAAATAAACGATACTACACTAAAACCTAACTGGTCAAGAAGCGAAGCAGGCGCCTAAAAGAGTAACGCAGTATTGAGAATAGAATTATAATTTTTTAGATGTACAAAAGTTGATGCGACTCGTTCCTTCTAAACTTTTCTTCTCTTATTTCACGTCAAATAATTATAAAAGATATTATTTTCGGTAGGGAGAGGGGTAACTATTACAAGTAATCTAATAGTTTGAGTCAATCATGTGGGTGAGTAGTAAGTACTGGAATCGTGTCGCGCTCACCGCTCACCGCTCACCGCTCACCGCTCACCGCTCACCTTGAGACTGGAGCCCAGACAGAGCACGACGTCAGCCTGCGCGGCGTGCCGCAGCGCGCCCGCCCAGTTGAGCGGCCAGGCGGCGCGGCCCCGCTCGCCGAAGTGTGTGAGTACTGGAAGCGTGTCGCGCTCACCGCTCACCGCTCACCGCTCACCGCTCACCGCTCACCGCTCACCTTGAGACTGGAGCCCAGACAGAGCACGACGTCAGCCTGCGCGGCGTGCCGCAGCGCGCCCGCCCAGTTGAGCGGCCAGGCGGCGCGGCCCCGCTCGCCGAAGTGTGTGAGTACTGGAAGCGTGTCGCGCTCACCGCTCACCGCTCACCGCTCACCGCTCACCGCTCACCTTGAGACTGGAGCCCAGACAGAGCACGACGTCAGCCTGCGCGGCGTGCCGCAGCGCGCCCGCCCAGTTGAGCGGCCAGGCGGCGCGGCCCCGCTCGCCGAAGTGTGTGAGTACTGGAAGCGTGTCGCGCTCACCGCTCACCGCTCACCGCTCACCGCTCACCGCTCACCTTGAGACTGGAGCCCAGACAGAGCACGACGTCAGCCTGCGCGGCGTGCCGCAGCGCGCCCGCCCAGTTGAGCGGCCAGGCGGCGCGGCCCCGCTCGCCGAAGTGTGTGAGTACTGGAAGCGTGTCGCGCTCACCGCTCACCGCTCACCGCTCACCGCTCACCGCTCACCTTGAGACTGGAGCCCAGACAGAGCACGACGTCAGCCTGCGCGGCGTGCCGCAGCGCGCCCGCCCAGTTGAGCGGCCAGGCGGCGCGGCCCCGCTCGCCGAAGTGTGTGAGTACTGGAAGCGTGTCGCGCTCACCGCTCACCGCTCACCGCTCACCGCTCACCGCTCACCTTGAGACTGGAGCCCAGACAGAGCACGACGTCAGCCTGCGCGGCGTGCCGCAGCGCGCCCGCCCAGTTGAGCGGCCAGGCGGCGCGGCCCCGCTCGCCGAAGTGCACGATGGAGTCCCTCAACTCGGCGCCGCACGCGTGGCACAGGCGCCTGGTGCCGTGCGCGTGTCGCGCCGTCCGCTCCGTGGTGTCGAAGGCGCGCAGGTAGACGCGCCGGCACGGGCCGCACAGCTCCGCGAACATGTCCCCGTGCAGTTCGGCGAGCGCGCGCCGGGGGAGCCCCGCGCGGATGTGCAGCCCGTCGCAGTTCTGCGACACCACGAACTTGAGCGTGCCGCGCGCCCACAGCGCCGTCAGCGCCATATGTGTGAATGTGGGCTGGGCGCGAGACACTTCCACGCGCCTGTGGGCGACGACACCGGGCTCATGATTTTCTAACTTATGAGAGCTTCACAGAGTGTAATGGTATTCTTGCTGGCCCGGCAAATCTTTGAATTTATAGTGTAAGGCCCGTTTTACAGAAAGATTCTCGGTGATTGATCTAGTCTTGAGCATAGTTAGAAAGGGATGTCACTATATATAGCACATAGCGACATCCCTTTCTAACTGTACTCGAGTAAAGATCGACACTTAGTTGTCATTCTGTAATACGGGCCTTAGTATACTAACACTGGACCGAGATAGTGACACTGGCACCGATGACAGGAGTCTTCTGTTTTTTTTTGTATACCATGAAAATGAGAGTTAGTGGCCAGTCGCTAAGTGTAATAACACAGAGAGAAATATGCTTGTTTGAAATTTTACCATGTTTAGTAATCAATTGTTTACTCTTATTTGCATTGATCACAGAAGGGAATGTAGGTATGATGACTCAACCATGTGGAACTTTTTTTAAATACAAAATTTCTTTAGCACAAGAATTTTACAGTTTAATGAATAAAATTAAAAAAATATAAATAAACTACAATATTTCTATATATTCTTCCCAAATGTTTAATACTTATAAAAGTGTTACGTTTTGCATTGTGGGTTACCTATAATGGAAAAAAATTGCTCTGCCTTGCAGCGTAAATAATACTAGAGGAAATTCGACATGGCCATCAAGGCCTTGGTAGCATAAGTGAATAGTATTTTTTTTAGATAATTATAAATCTATCAATTAAATACTGTAACCTGTTAAAAACGTCACAAGAGTTTTGTTTGCTTGAAGAGAACGATAGAAGCCCTCTGTTTAGGTTGACTCCCTCGTTCTCCTTTATCATAGATCATTTTTGCTAGTTCATGCGTTTTTTTTATTTTCTGTGGCTTAACAAGGCTTTATCTTGACTGATTCCTTTGCTTGTCTTTTGGAAGGAACAAAAAGGAAGAAAATTTTAACCTCACTTCACAACATATATTTTTACCTATTAGATGAGAATTGAGTAATCTCAATTATTGACATGTTAAACTTGTAAGTTAATCAATAATTTTTAATATGAAGTGTTTTTCTTAATTCAAAAAGTGTTTTGTTTAAATATTTCGGTAATTTTCAAGTAGATTTTGTTTTAGCAGGAGTCATAAGTTGGCCATGGAGATGGCTGTCGGCCTATTTGTTTAATTTCTTTAAAAAAATGGTGAGAACCTTCGAAATTTATTTTGTTTTATACATTTTCTTTTGTTTTGTGCCATTTGCTAATCTGCAGACTGTTTTTTTTTCCAGCCAGCCATTTTTTTAATACTTTAGAATATTTTATATTGGACCATGAAATAACTGTTGTCATTGCATGGGAGCGAGGCTTCCATGCATACTGAACTCAACACATAACACAGATGCAGAGGGGACAGAAAGAGCATTTAAATATGTACCTACTAATAAGGACATATATACTAATTCTGATAAGATAAAATTATTCCACTAAGATTATAAATATATGATGATAATTGGGCCTAGCTTCTAAATACAAGAAAATGATTTTTGACAAAATGTTAGAAATTTTTATATATAGACAAGCCAAAGCGAGTTTGGATTTTGCTTCAACCCCTCTTGCGATTAATAGTTCAATGCCCTTCCAGCGAGTCTATTTAGGTATGGTCTGGTGCCATACCTACACTTACCCTTTTTATTTTGACCTATTCATATTGCTTTATAACAGTTTTTATCTTAGCCTTTATTTTTTAATACACAATTTCAACATTAAAATATATAGAAAACTATGTAGTTATCCACTATTTCACAAAAAATATAAGTAGCCCACAGTTACTATTTGGATAAGTTCTACTTATTTAATGACAAAACAGAACAAAGAAATATGGTTTGTTAAATTTGAATAGTTCCTTACCCAACTGTCTCACCACGTTGCAACCTCGTCCAAACTCCATGTGGCCCACGATAATCTGGAATGTCAGCTGCTGTACTAATGCCTGCACCAGTGTACACCTGAAACGACTCCACTTTCATTCACAATTCACCAATTGTATCATTGTTCATTATGCCATTGTTGGGCTTCTCAGTGAATATTTGAATATGGAGCAATACGCACCACTAGATGCTTGGCGTTTCGCAAGGCTCGTGCGAGACGCCGACACTTTTCTCGAAGCACTCGCGGGCTGTCCTCGACCTCGCGGGCGCGCTCTGCGGCTCGGGCCCGGCGCAGCGCGGCGGCGGCGGCGGCTGCCGCAGCGTCTTGATTGGGCCTCTCGGGGCGGCCGTTGCTGCCGTTGCACTGGTTCCGAGCTCCCTCTCCACTGAGCCTCGCGCTGCTGCGGACTCCACCGCGAGCCTCCATACCTCCCGCTACTGGTTCAGCCTAAACTTCGGATCTCTCACATGAGCACCTTCCGGTACCCTCTTCTCTTGGCTTTTGTACATATCGTTCGAGACAAAAATCGTGATCACAAGGGCAAACAATCGAATTTAGCTCATTGTTTCAAGACTCGCGATCGTAATTTACCTATTTATACACACACAGAGAGCAAAACACGTACAAGACGCTGTCATGCGCTGTCAGTCTGTATGTCAACGTCATATTTTATTTACATTATTTTTCTGTTAGGAAGGCAAAGGAAATTGGATCCGTCAGCATCGTTTTAAGTTATTAATTTATTCTTGTTTTTCATTACAATGCAAAATGGAAGTCATATTTTTGTAAGAACTTGGCACGAAAATTATCATCTCGCCATTGCCAATAAGCTTCTGCAACATGACCAAATAAATAACTTTTATCTTTAAAATACAGTCAAATAAACTGTTGTTTCATAAAATCACATCACTTTTTCAAAGCAATATTCACTATTAACCCTATTAAGATTGGTATATGCTCTAAGTATAGAGAGCGTAATCACTGCTGTTTTACAATGTTACATTTAATATTCTGTCTATCTTTTTTTACATCGTTTATTTATTTCCGCAAATATATTCTTACGTTATCCGCAAATAATACTGTAAAGGCTAAATGGAAAGTCATTACTATAGGCTTTAAGTTATGTAGAGCTATTAAAACGTAAGTCTTTTCTAAAGTGTCTACAAAGAGGAATTAATCATAAAACAACTTTTATAATGCAAATAAGACCTTTAGGCCCACTTGCACGTTCTAGGGTTAATTTATTTACCTTCAAGTTAACTATTGAACGGGGATTAAAAATTTTTTTTTCTTGCACTGCCAAAAGTTAACATTAAAGCTTAGGTTAAATAATTAACTCGACAAAGTTGGAGGGTTAAATTGCTAACTCGAAATTGTTAAAGGTTATTATAGACTGTGTTGTTTGTTTTTATAGAGATAACATTTTATTTTATTTATTTCTGAATGATGAATGACTTTTTGTTTTCTGATGATGACGAAAAAATTGTCGACTATAATATAAGTAGGTACTTACATATTTTTTTGACCGATTTTTTTTTTGCGATGATGACCAGTAGTAACAGCATTATATTCTTCCTGTACGGCACGTCGCGTCGGGCTGTAGCAGTAGCTGGCAGTTACCGACTCGTACTTTGGGGGTGGAGGAAAATATACGTAGGAGTCTTGACGGCGATAGTGGACTGTAGCTTCGGTGAAATAAAACTCCCAGTGTTCGGTATTGAAGAAATCGGTGGGCGCTGGTAATGGATGGCCGATGAGTCTTCAGGTCCGGAGTGAACCGCTTGTTTCTTCCCGTTCCTGTAGGTGGGAGCGCCTGTCGCTGAATGGCATGTCGGAGCCTGTTCCGGCTCGATTTTTATACGCGCTGACTGAGCTGGCCTGCAATCCATTACCTCACCTCCGCTATACTTTATTTCTCATTTATTCACAAAATACATTGCTGCGAGCTTATAAATATAAGTACATACATTAGGCAAACATCATATTGCGCGGCCGAAAGCATCATATTTTAGCTGTGGCACGCAAAAATAGGTCTCCGCGATATTTATACTCGCCCCTTCCATAGGGCTTTGCCCACCACAGGCCCCCACCCACGCGCTCCTCGGGCGTTGCGTGGGGAGCGTGCTAAGTACCTTCTATAAAAACTATTTTTGTCTTATTTTCGGCACATTTTCATATTTATCGATTTGATACCTATTCATTTAGGTAGTGCTAAGTCTTATCGATCGAATACAATAGTCTCTAATAAGAATAATCATAAACAATGGCTTTGTAGCCCTACAAAGTTCAGAAATTAAAAGGTCTCTAAAAACCTACTTAGACTCATTTCATACCTAACTATTATACCTTATTTTATTGGGCAAGTGAAAACATACAAATAAAATCTTTATTGTCAAACTTATATCTTTAACTAACTTACTATCGAACAAAAACTAAATTTAACTATCGCCTTAATTATACCTGAACTACTAACATAATCTATGTAAAACCTTGCTATTTCTATTCCTATCACTATCTATTATCTAATGAAACATAAAGAATAACAATTTAAACATAATACATTGGTATTTTCGAGAGCTTACAGTTCGAACAAAATTCTTATAAGACTGCTAGAAAGAGACAGCCTATCATTCCGAACTATCCTATCGTTCCGAACTATCAAATTCCAAACAGTTTCTCAGCGACACTGCTTGGGGTCGTGGCAATCGCTTATAGGTTAGAAAGAGACAGAGTAACGTTTTGAACTATCAACTTTACAATTAGTAACTATAAGTAAATTCCTCTGTTATTACAATCTATGGCTCATTCTAACCAAATGACAATGAAATAGCACGTTAATGACTGTACCTATCCGTTACATGTGAAATCGCAGTTATAGATACCTACATTTTTCAATAGTTCACAATTCAGTCTGTTTCGATGTTTCACTGCACACGTAAACTTTATTTCTTCTCGCTTCGGTCGTCGTGTACACTTCCATTATATCCTGCCAAGCTTTTTGTTTTTAAAGAAGAGTAGCGCCGTCATTCGAGTTTACTCCTTAAGAATCGATTTGCATATATAAGGGGCCCGGTATGAGAAAAATGTGAGGAGTAAAATCTATCGATGAATGACATTAATGACCTCGTTACGTTTTTGTGCGCAACCTCATCTGCGCACCTTTCACTTTTAGCCATGGCAACGGATAAAAAACATTAAGTTGACACAAATGTCAATAAAATAAATAAACTAAAAATAGATAAAATCGGAGCAAAATTAATGAAAACAAATAAATAACAGAATATAGAGAAATGCCGGTAAGTGTCCAGCACTCTGGAATAGTGATTTTCAGTACAGATGGAATTATAATACATATTTACAAAATGATGACTAGTGTGTTATATTTTTGAAATTGTGTGTTTCCAGAAATACATAATAAAATGATGAATATCGCTGATGTTAGATGGTAAAATGTGTGACATGGAACCTATGAAAGTCGAAACAATGGGACGATTCCTGAGGTATCTCTACTTGTAACCGACTTCTTCGGACTTGATTTTGTTTTGTGTCTGTTCAAAGACTTTAGAGTATAAACTCCGGTCGTGCGTCGGAGCTGACACACACATTTTTTTTTTATTTTCAATAATATTTTTATATTTGTGTAAAATATCACATAGAAGTAAACTGTCACTACTTGTAAAATTCGGGGCACGTAAATGAGATTTCTTCTTCGAAACGGAACGAACACGAAATTGTTGTCACAAAATACAAACTTACGAGATAGATAGGTACTTTAAAAACACCATGCAATCGGTATACAAACACCTATTTGACTGACAAATTACAGGACGCCATTCAACTTAAACGCCCAAAAACACCACGTCTTTTCAAATTTGACATTACGAAAGAGACATATGCAAGATACTGTTGTGTGAAAGGGACTATAATACTTATGTCATTCATCATTCACTCTTTTTGTTGGGTTAGTAAACCTTGGGTTATTTTCTGTTCGTGCAAGATAAACTCTGATAAAATGTTATATTAACTTTGAGTTAATAAACTCAAAGTTATTCGGTTATCTCAAGATTAACGTGCAAGTGGGCCTTATTGTAGTTGCCTTGCTGTCACCTCACCTCAACTGACATTCTAATGAAAAAATAGTAAGAAAATAATAAAGTTCAGGCCGCATGAGTTTAATATCCTTTGCTTTTGAAATGATGCATATAACAAAAAAATCTTTGACAACTAAAGTAGAACGTCATTTTGACATTTTTCTAACCTCTTTCTTTACAAAACTTGACAGGTAAAATATGAGTCTCTTGTTTAATTTTTGAAGAATCCATTTGAATCAAACAGATATAGAATTCTATTTTTATTGTTAATTATAGTGCGTTACATTCTGGCAGTTTAGCATTCATTTATGGTTTTATTTTAAAGATATTTCAAGTTATATTGTCTTTTTCAGTGTCGAAAAGAGTATCTGTCATTTGGAATCATCATGGTAAGAATTTATTGATAAACAAAGTAAAATTCCCTAGTATACTGACTGATTCTATGAACTTTTGATAAACTTAAAGATAGAGACATGTTCCTCCTATATGTGATTATGCTTACGTTATATTTTAGTTATAATCAAGAAAGTTTTGTTTCATTTTAGCCGCGTGAAATCAAAGACATCAAAGACTTCCTCTTGAAGGCAAGAAGGAAAGACGCCAAGTGTAAGTAACCTTATTCATATGCTTAAACATGTATCAAACAAAAGTGCAACTCAAATTGAGATAAATGAGACCTAAATATGAACTTTAATGAAATTTGGCCTTAGTGTTCACTATTTATATTATAGTTTTGTCATGTGTTTTAATTGTCTGCATTAAGTATCACCAGATTTAATAGTTTTAAATCTATTTATCTAGTTCCTCCATATCATCTTTTTTTTTCATTTTAATAAGTTTCTATTGCTTACTGCCAAATGACCACTGAAATTGATACTTTGAAATTTCCAAATACTATTTTAATAATCTTATACTGGTGCTATTCTGTTGGTTTTCTAAACATAAAATATTATATATCACTTGTGTTTGTTTTACTTTTATGTTTTCTTTTGAACATTACAGCTGTGAAGATAAAGAAGAACCCTGAAAATGTAAAGTTCAAGGTCCGCTGCTCCAGGTTTCTGTACACTCTGGTCATCACCGACAAGGAAAAGGCAGAGAAGCTCAAACAGAGCTTACCTCCAGGTTAGCTTGATTTGTAATCAGATTGTTGTTTATGAAATTATTATTTAATATTTATAGAGTTAGATCATACATAGTAAGTAAACATGAAAGCTGACCACTACGGATACACAATATTTAAATCTCACATTAACGCAGAACACAGGAGATATGAAGATGTATAGTGTTCATATTGTCAAGTTTGTTGTTGAAATAAACTTTCTTTTTTATAAAAATTTAAACTACTTCATGAATGCAAACTCACTCAAAAGTACGAAATAATACTCATCCTTCATTTTGTAGTCAGTGTTATGCCTGTCAAATAGATTGGAGTTGCTGCTTTTGTAAATACAATTTACGTTTATTTAAAGCATCAAAGTTATTTCTTACATTTTAGTGGCTTTATATTTATTTAAACAGTTTTTACTTTTTAAAAACTGTTTAATTGTTTCAGCTAATACTAATGCAATGAAAATGATTTGTATATGATTTATTTTCTTTATTTAGGAAACAATGTTTATATTGTTGATTAACACACAAGGAGAAAATAGAATATCTTAAAAATTATAAATCGCAAGAAACTAAAATGGTTTTTAATAGTATCATTAATTAAACGAAAATGGAAGCTGATACAATAAGAATTCTATACTTTATAGATGTAACTAAACGGCTGCCTGCGACTTCAACTTTAGATTTAAAATCCTACAGGAACCATAAACTTTTCCAGGATAGAAAAGTATCCTATATGTCTAATCTGTGTGTAAAATTCATCTAAATTCATATCAGATTAAATAACAAAAATTTTGTATGTTTGTTCATCATACAAAAACTGTTAATACTTTCACATTATTTTATAGTATTTGTAGGATAATGGAGCATTGGGTTCTGTTGAGAGTAATAGACCTCTGTTTAATGTTGTGTTTTTGTTGCAGGTCTGCAAGTAAAAGAAGTTAAGTAATGTGACTAGATTTAACACAATAAAAATATAAAAATATCATAAATTAGTTTTATTAATTGCCAATCACTCATTCACTGATGCTTAATTCTGTTAAATTGGTTCTTAATTTTTTTTTTATTTTTACTTATAAGAAGGTGGTACCTACACAGGCACCTTACTTACTTCCACATGTAGAAGAAATCTAATCTCTTAAAGCTATTTAGATATATTTTAAGAATATTAGAAGTTTTTAGATCGCGGTGACTTCTTCAAGGGCTGCTAAGGTCTAAAAGTCTTGAAATAATAATAAGTACCAACTTTATTTGTTATCTTACTGGTTCAATCATCTTGATCATTCCTATTAGATATAAAAAGAGCTTGTAAAATGAAATCTTCCATGCTGCACTAGGGACAATATAAAAAACAAAATGCAGCAGCTGTTGCTGCTTATCAACATAAAACTTATAGCAAACCAAGTTTTATGTTCATAATTGTTCTATTAAATCTTATACAATGGGAAAAATCAACTTTTCCCTGATAACCTTCTGTTATCTAATCTTCGCACCTGTAAATCTTTTCGCAGTCAGACGATCAACTGATCACAACCACTGTAAAATATGAAACAGATTACTTGCCCAGTGGTGGAACTATGTTAAATAATTAATCGATTATTTTTATAAGATTAATGATACATAAAATATTAAACAAAATTTTTATGTAAGATTTATTTAGTTCATTTATAAACCGATATGAGCGCCATATTTGCATGACATAGGTAGACATAAATTACCACAAACATTTTATCTGTAGAGAAGGGTGACTCAACCATAAAAAAATATTAAACAAAAAATAAATCCGACTTCAAAGTCGAAAATCGAACTAAAAAGTAAAAAATAATATCTGGTTCATGATTTGGAAGTCGGGCGGGTCAAGTGAAACATTATAGATTTTCGTTTCAGATCGGTAATAATAGGTACGTCTTTCAATATTTCAATTATTTTTGAAGTGAAACTTCTTTATCGGCGTTGGAAAAAAATTTACCGTCACATTTTTTCGGTTACACGTCACGTGTTTTTGGTTACGCGCCATCTTTTTTTTTAAAAGAGCACTATTTACCTCATCCGAACAATTGCTTCTACTGTCAACTTAAAAAAAAAAAAGTATCGACAGCAAATATTCGTGTTTCACACAAGGTAAGGTAAGGTAAGGTGCAGTTATACCCCTTTAGTGGGTGAGTTTTTGAAAAATCTTAGCGCACGCCTATATATATATATTTCTGGAAAGTTGCATGTAGATCATTTTTCGAAAAAAATAAGGCCATAAAGAAGTTTCACTTCTTACGTGTGTACACTAGTACACGCACACATTTTTTTTATTTTTAAGTTCCATTTACGATTTTGAAGTCGGTTTTATTTTGTTTATTTTTTTTTATTTCATCCACTAGTGAAAATTACATCGTCCTATTAAACAATAACACAATTGACGGAGAAATCGGTGAACATGCATAAAAAACATCGTGCGTGCCTTTGAAATATGAAGGTTTCCCTCGATTACCCCGGATTCCACAATCAGATGCTGACTTGGTTCTAATGGGACACCCTCGGAAGTGCACTCTTTCGAATAAAAAAAAATAATTTTGGAAATCGGTCCACAATTGACGGAGAAATGGTAACGATACCGCTTGTTAGGGGTATGGGTTAGTCTCAACTATATTAAATACCCTAGATACATATTAATATAAGCCGCGCGAATAAAGAAACGAATTGAAAATGGCGTCTATGTACCTGCACTGACAGATGGTAGGGTCAACAAATAAAAATCGCCCGCCTTTCCCCCCTCTTCTCCTAGGAGAAGACGCGGGGAGACGTGGGCGACCGGGAGGGGGGAGATGGACGGGAAGAATTACGCTACCCCTCCCAGGAACGGCGGCCCCCCCACTCGTAGTCCCGACCTACAAAGGGGGGGGGGGGGGGGGGGCGCAGGATTCTTGGACGGGTACGCCCAGGAGTCCCTTCCGCAGCGGATGGGGGGCGGTACGGTGGGCAGTAGGCTGCGTACCCAGCCCCCTCGCGCGGGCCTACCTGCGGGGTCCCCGTAAGACCCCTGCCGTGGAGCCCCGGCCAGGCCGGGAAGTTGCTGGGGGCGGAGCCGTGGTAGAATCCCTAACGGGGACCCTGCGGCTCCGCACTAAGCAGTGTGGATTCGTAGGACTTTTTTAGCTGATATTATGCTGTAAAGCGCCCGTAAGAGTTGCGGGGTCCTCGGTGGGTAGCCACTGGGGGCTCCGTAACACTTGCGGGAGCCAGGTGTGAGGTCCGTTCGGCGGTGTGCCTCTTAAAGGCGCCGTCGTCTGTAAAAAGATTTTTTACCAGCGTTATAAAAAAAAGGTTCAACAAATAAAAATAAAGATAGAAAGAAAAAGTTTTTTATTAGGTTATGTCGAGACAGTGCGAGAACAAAGTCAAAATTGATATTTATTTCGCATGCAGTACGCGCCGTGACCAAAGACAGCAATAGTTTAGAGTGAGAGCGCATGATCGTGACCGAAACCTGTCCAAAAGGTATATTGGACGATCCACGGAGCTCCGTTAGATTACCGCGTAGTCAAAAACAATATAGGTAAGGCATTATTTAAACATTGAAAATCACCTTTAATGCATACGTATAAGGTCTTAATTAAAACGCATGCGTCAAAGAATTCTGACCGTTCGAAATGCAAGCTCGTAAAAATTTACGACTCATTGCTATATGCGGAAGAATATAGACCTTATTTCTTTGTATCTACGCGCAATTCTGAATGCGCTGTTAACAATATAGCAGGTAAGGACTGCGAGGAAAAGCGACGGCTATATAACCGACCATGCATTTCTTCATCATCATCATTTTTGTTTCAAAAGCGTTAAATTAACAAACATAATTAGATAGATACCTTTCGAAAAAACGACACTACATACTATAGGTATTTTTTCGCATTTTTTCACAGAGCCTTGCAGCAACTTGACTTTTCAACGGTCTGCGCGTGACTCAGTGAACCAAGAAGTGCTTGAGTGTCGTTCAAGCACTTCTTGATTGGGACACATTTTGAGCGCACGTGGTGTATCTAGGGTATATAAAATCGTTGGTAAATTTGCTGATTCCGTCCATTACCTATGGAGACCTATGCCCCAGCAGTGGGGACCTAATAGTAGGTCTGTTAACATTATACGTAAGTGAAATCATACCCTGAAAAATAAATATTTTTACTTAAATTACAACTTATATTCTGTAAGTACCTCTCGATTACTGCTTATTGAATCGAAGTTAATTTAAATTAATGAAATCAATAAGTACCTACAGAAAAAATCTTGCATAAAGCTATGTCGGCATTCGTGATATACTGCGGCTCGAAACGTACTCAAGTGGAGTCATGGAGTGAGCCTCTACAATAGTAGAGCTAGCCAATGTGTATCGGCTTTGATTTACAATCGGCAGGCCATATTCCGGCGACCGAGCGGCCGCTGTCCGCCCAATACAGTGTTCATCAACAAAATAAATACAGTGTTATTAGGTCTGATTTTAAAATCGAGAGACGTTATAGAAAAAAAAGGTAAATTTAAAATATCAAAAAAACCGACTGCCAAATTATACTTCAAATAAAAACTGAAAAGAAAAAACAAGTCCAGTAGTCTATAATTCTGATAATAAGGAACAAAGCTACTTTAACTGTCGGGACCCATTAGATATTCAAGAATACATAATATTTTTCAATAATGGGTCCCGACTCTTAAAGTAGCTTTGTTAATCTTTATATATATAATTCTTCTGTGAGTGTGTATGTCACTGAACTTCTCTTAAACGACTGGACCGATTTTGATGAAATTTTTTGTGTGTGTTCAAGGGGATCTGAGAATGGTTTAGATTCACAAAGACGTGTAGACAGGACAACGTCTGTCGGGTCCGCTAGTTATTATAATAATTATATATTTAAATACATTTAGAAAATACAAGAAAATGATGTGTAAAATATTTAAATTATATATTTGAATTTACACATAATTTTCTTTATTTAAATACATTTTGTCCGAGTGACATAGGCTATATTATATATTATATTTTATCCCGATAAAATAAATTTCGCCCGTACAATGCCGGTGTGGATCACTTGTAAGTATAATATAATATTATAAATGCCAAAGTGAGTTTGTTTGTTGCGCTTCCGTGCCTTAATAGCTAAATCGATTATAATGATTTCCCCTATAGAAGTAGATGGGAACTTGGTTCTTAGGTACAACATCGCTATACTTATAGGCGTAGGGTGATGGAACGGGTGATTTACCTATAAAAATGTATATTTTTAAATAAAACTAGTTTTTTACGGGTTAATGCACGAAACTTTATTTATTTATTGACGTTTCGTAGCCTTTACAGGCTACGTCGTCAGAATCAAATTTTATTTAATTTTGTCGAGCTAACTTCGAAAGAGTTTTATTGAGCGTTCGGTTATTATTTACTTTGAATTTTGCAAAAATTATTGTTCATAATTACAAAAACCAATATTATCGCGAGCTGATTAATAAATACAGGGATTTCAATAAATATGTACCTACTATCCAAAAATGGGTTATTTGTCTGTGTGTATATTAAGTAACCCTTTTTTGTAACATTAAGTAATATCGTGAAAAAAATTATTAAAAACAGTATTATTCTGAATTTTTCATTAAAATTCAGTAATCATAAATACCTATTATGATAATTTATTTTTCATCTTTTAATAAGAAGAATCTGTAGAATAGTTTTATTGTAAGTACTTCGTATAGGATCAGATACTGCGACTAGCCCATTTTTTTCTTTTTCGCCTAGGTTTCATCTACGTTTATAAACACCTGAATTTTACGTTTATAAACATTGTACACCGCGCTATCACTTTGTCATCGTTGTAACTTTTTAAATATTTGTCGAAATGACATAGTGTAAAAGGCAAAGTTTATCGTCTTTATCTAAGTTTGTCTATATCAAAAGCGATAAAAGTATTTGTTTTGATAAAAAATAATTTGTTATTACAAAATGTGCATTTTGGAAATAGA